CCTCCTGATCAGCCAGATCACATGGACAGGAAGGCTCGTCGCCGTACGAGGGTAAATAAGAGTGGTTGGGCTGGCTTGCTCGGTGACAACTTGGGCACAGGGGTGGGCCGATACACTCACGAAGACACTGCTCGCTCAAAGATGCTGTTCGGTACGTTGGATTGAGGGGGAGGGTAGGTTCCAATTGGAACTCAACTGTGTACACAACTATACCCATCAATCATACATCTGCTACATTGTCTTTTTGTACCTTTGATTAGTTGGTGGACAGACTGCTAACACCTTACAGACAGATTAGTGTAGGACTGTTGAATGCTACCATAGCCAGTTCTAACTAATGCTGCTGTAAGTGAACAAGTCAAAGTGCATTTAGACTATGTAGACAATCTGTGTGAATGTTGTAGACATGCCACTTGATCGGTACAGTAGGGGACTTGCTGGACAGAACCATTTCTAGAAAATTAGGTGCCGGTCAGACACATGTTGCGGTAGGATTCCATTAGGGGATTCTAGTGCAGATAAAGTCTGCCTAACTCAGGAGCGGATCAGACGTCGATGAGGAGAGAGTTGACGATGGTAGATTAACACGTGCAAGATCAAGTAGGATCCCGTACGTGTTCAGGACCCTAGACGAGGGAGAAGAAAGACGGCTTCGTGCCGAACGCAGCGCCAGTGCTTGCGCAACATCGAGAGAAGCAGCAAACCTTGCAGCTAGGGAACAGGCTGCAGCAGCAGCCAGGGCAGCAGCCATGACTTCTTCAGAAGCATCCTCCGCTGCAACTTCTGTTGCGTTCTCGTCTGGACCCCAGTTTGGAATGCCAACAGGGTCCATGGGCACTTCCAGTTTATCAGGTTCTAGGCAATCTACAAGTCAAATGGAGGGCTCGCAGTACAGCCCGTTGACTCCTCGCGAAAGGGAGATGAGAGAGCTCCAACAGGTCGAAAGGATCCGTGCACAGTTAGAGAAAGATCTGAAAGAGGCTACCGATAGAGAAAAAGAGATAAAGAATAGAACAGCCAGGCTTGAAACGTTAGAGGCTGACAAAGCAAACTTAGAGGGCTTAGATGACTCAGGAATGAATGAGCCCATGAAAGTGTTGAGGGACAATGTGTTGTAGCTGCATGCACACGTGGACAGCAGGATGGACTTCATGCAGAACACTTTGGACCAGATCCTGGACATTTTGACAAAGCCAGGATTTAGGCCACCAACGCAATCGTCGTTGCCGTTAACGGCGATGTCAGACCCCTTTCCAGTTCAAGCTGGTTCACAACCAAGTGGTACGTCTGCAGCAGCCGCACAGACAGTTGCATGTTCTTCTTCGGGTTCAGCGGTGATTGCTACATCACCACAACAACCTGTTCAACAATCTGGACAGTCGCAAGGTCAATGGTACCCCAAGACCCCAATGAAACCGCCTCTTGCCTTCTCAGGCGAGAGAAAGGACGAGGAACTCAACACATGGTTGAGGACGGTCTCGGTTTGGGTGAAGGCCAAAAGGACCTTGCCTGAGGACGAAGTGGTAACTGCGGCGTCTTACCTAGAGGGTAAGGCAGCCAAGTGGCTAGATGGTGTAGTTGTGAAGGCCGGGTACGGGCGACACATGGCGGATTGGGCTAAGTCTTTGACTTTAGACCAATTCATGGAAATGGTAGAAGCTCGATGGCATAACCCCCAGGAGGCACAAAAGGCCACTGATGCCATTAACAAACTAGACCAACGAAAGTTCAGGTCAGTTAGAGAGCTTACGACTACCGTTGAGAGCCCGATCCTCGTCCTAGGCATCGACTACAGTGACCAGTTCCTGCTAACTACTTTTGTTAGATGTTTACCAGAGAACATCAGGAACTTACTGGCTAGCGAGGCACGCACTGTGTACCATTCGTTTGAGACACTGTCTAGGAAGGCCTTAGATTTAGAGGCCACTCTAGGCAATGCTCAACCCACCTCACAGAGTGACTCAAAGAAGAAGAAGAGTCCAGAGGAGTGGAAAAAGAAGGGAGCAAAGTTGATGATGGTTGAGTCTGATGGGACTCAAACTGAGATTGACGAACTCTCTGACCTGATGGACTATTCAGAGCAAGACGGCGAGGAGGTAGCTGAGGGTAGCACCCTTGCCGCAGTAGTAAAGACTAAGGCAGGTGGCCGAGGGAAGGGCCAACCCAGGGGTCAAGGAAAGGCCGCCTCCAATCAGACCAAACAGGCTGACTGGGTTAAGGTAGGTCTTGATCAAGATGTGTGGCGTGACCGCCGAATGCGTGGCGCTTGTATCAACTGCGGGGAATACAGACACACGCAGTACAAGTGCCAGAACGCTAAGGTTACGCAAAAGGTTGCTCCAAAGATGGGGGCAACTTATTCCCAGGCTTCAAGCTCGGGAAACACGTGAGGCCAGTGGAAGTATTAGTTGCTTCTACTCAAGATGAAGTAGGAATGATACCCTCCCTACTTCATGACAAGGCCCAGGCTAATGACCCCTTAGTCGCCCCGCAGACACAACTAGACCAAACTATGCTCTGTACGTTAGATGTGTCTGAAGCCTTAGAAGACTTGGAGAGTGAGTGGTCAAATAAGGACCCTCGTGAGTCTTGGGTGGCGTTGAGGAAAGGTCCTAGAGGGGAACATTTCGTGGTGGAAGTGGATGTAGTAGTCCGCAAATGTGGAGGCTTCATATACAACGGATCCACACGGAATTACATAAGTCGCGACTGTTTGGAAAGGCTGCACCTACAGGATCGGGGACGGCACCTTAGTAGACCTGTAGCATCTACTTTGGCCAACAAGGAGTGCATGATTGTAAAAGACTACATCAAGGACGTTGTCTGTACATTCTCCTATGGAGGAGGTGAGCTTAACCATAAAATCTCGTTCTTGGTTAGCGACGACTTGCCATTCGATAGGCATGTACTACCTCGAAGTTGCTAAGCCCCAGTTCGACTGGGATAAGAAGGTGCTCAAACACAAGTTGCCCGATGGCCGAACTGTCAGATTGACCAAGTTCAAGGCCAGGAGTATTATAGATACCTATGGCTGCTTGTGCGCATCTCCATTCTATAACTATTACAAGCAAAACGAAGAGGAGGGTATGTATCTGGTTTATGTCTCTGAGAAGGGGGAGGCCGTTAAAACACCCCCAGAGATAAAACGCGTCATTGCTAAGTTCCCTGATCTGTTCGAGGAGCCCACAGGAGTTGTTGATAGGGAAGTCGTCCACGCTATAAGAATCATTCCAGGGAGTAAGACCCCAAAGGGAAGGATCTATAAGATGGCCCCTGCCGAGTTAGATGAACTTCGGGAGCAACTAAAGGAGCTGACAGAGAAGGGATGGATTCGGCCTAGTACTTCCCCTTACGGATCACCTGTGCTATTCGTACCGAAGAAGGAGGGTACTTTGAGGATGCGCATTGATTATAGGGGCCTCAATGCCATCACAGTGAAAAGCGCAGAGATTCTACCTCGCATAGACGACCTATTGGATAGGGTGCAGGGATGCAAGTGCTATACAAAGATAGACTTGAAATCCGGATATCACCAGACCGCAATAAGACCTGAGGACCAACACAAGACAACTTTTCAGACTCGTTATGGTCTGTATCAGTTTGTAGTGATGCCTTTTGGTCTTTGTAATGCGCCGGGTACATTCCAGCACGCTATGAATCGGATCTTCCATGACCATCTAGATAAGTTTGTCGTAGTCTATCTAGACGACAWTCTGATCTTTAGTAAGTCTGCCGAGGAGCACGTACAACATGTTGAGACAGTTCTCTCACTCCTGCGACAACACAAGTATAAGGTCAACTTAGCGAAGTGCGAGTTTGGCCGCACTAAGATATTATACTTGGGTCATGAAGTATCCGCGGAGGGAATTAGGCCGGAAGATGCGAAGGTGGCTAGTATTCGAGACTGGCCACGACCTCAGGCAGTCACTGAGGTCAGGTCATTCTTAGGAATGTGCGGCTACTATAGAAACTTCGTTAAACCACCAGTACCTGGGACGCTGGGAAAAATAGCGGGCCTCGGGTAGGCGTCCGACCTTTGCAGCGGCCGAAACGAAACGACGGCCGCCGATCAGATTTATCAATTGCAGTCGTCGTAGGGCCTGACCTCCGAAAATTCAGGCGCTTGGGAAAATTGCCAGTTTTCCCTAATTTCCCAACACTGGCAGAGGTACTAGTGCTTTAAGAACTATTCTACAGTCGCCTCTCCTTTGACTGATCTAACTCGACTCGACACACCGTGGGACTGGAGTGATGAGTGCGAGGGTGCTTTCAAGAGATTGAAGCATGCACTCATGAATCATGAAGTTCTCATGGTTCCCGATCCGCAGAAGCCATTCATAGTGACCACGTACGCAATCCAATACAACATTGGCGCAGTGCTGGCTCAGAAGGATGGGAAAAAGTTGAGACCGATTGAGTACATGAGTAAGAAGATGCCATCGAAGAAGTTGGCTAAGTCCACCTACGAAAGGGAACTCTATGCTCTCTACAAGGCACTTGTCCATTGGAGACACTTCCTTTTGGGAAGGTTCTTCTATCTGAGGACTGATCATCAGACCCTCAAATGGATCAAGACTCAACCTGCTCTTTCTGATGCACTCAAGCGATGGATTGAGGTCATAGACCAATATGACTTCAAGCTTGAGTACCTGAAGGGAGAGTAAAACAAGGTTGCAGACGCGCTATCCCGTAGAGCAGACTACCTAGGTGC